AGCAGCTTTTACCAGGTAGGTTAAATATTGTCAAGGCAGATGGAAATTACTGACAACAATGAGGAACTGCTTTCTAAATCCTTGAGTCTTACTCAATTGTTCAAGGCAACAGATGGCTAAGAGGCTCAAATAGTCTTTTTTTTTTTTTTTGTGGAAAATGACCAGATATGTCTGTTGTCTGTCCATCCCCACCCTTTTTGGACATTTGAGTTCTGGTACTGTTTGTTTTAATGTTATTCTCTTTTCTACTTGCCAGTGTCTGCCAGCACATGCCTGGCATTAAGCCCCTTCAGACAAGAGGGGGGAAAAAAAAAAAAGAAAAAAAAGAAAAAAAGAGTTCACTTTTATCCTGAAGCATTGATGAAAGTTGATTGTATTTCAGCTGTTGGAAATGTTAACAAATGGCTTATACTCAGATGAATATAGACTGTGTTGCAGACTGCTCACAGCTGCTTCACTCTTCTCTGTTTGGGGCAGGCTTCTTTACCCTCCAGAGTTTTTCATATCTCTCTGTTTTTGTCTCTTTCTTTTCCTGATGACTGCCACCCACATGCTTTGTCTCACAAGTTCTTTCTCCAGCCAAAGAAGACTGAGCATTTTGTTCACTTGAGATGCCTTTTGAGTCTTCCAGTGAGAATCGTTAGAATGATTGAGGTAGGAAGGGACCTCTGGAGGTCATCTGGTCCAACCACCCTGCTGAAGCAGGGCCACCCAAGTCTGTAACCAGATGGCTTTTGAGTATCTCCAAGGATGGAGACTTTACAGCCTCCCCGGGCAACCTGTTCCAATTCTCAGTCACCCTCATAGCAAAAGAAAGTGTAGCTCTCCTCTTCCACAGGGGAAGAGGAATAGATCCACAAGAGAAGAGTCATAGATCCACAAGCCCACCACATGGGTCTCCTAATAATATAGCAGTCATGTCCTTTTACCATTGCCAACCCGCTATGTCTGCTTACTGCTCACATAGTAATTTAGCTCAGCCCAGGAATTGGTTTCCATTTGACTATAGCTTTGTCTGTAGCAATTAAATAAATTTTGTTTTATCTTAATGAACTAAATATAGGAGCAAGGTGTCTGAGTTCTCTTTGTTGTTCTGTCAAAAGACATCCTTTATGTATGCTGAATAGTTGTTTTTTTCACAGATGCACCTGAAATATAACTTGACTACATGAATCACACTGATGTGTAGAATGTAATTGCGTTGTTTTACTTTAATCTTCTTCAAAGAGCCAAGAGCTTTTGAGTGTTATATTTGGAAATATTTGTTAAATCATTTTGCATACACTGCAGCAGCATCTTAAAAAAAACCCACACCTTGTCGTGTTTTTTATGTAATTCAGTTCATTAAGATGTTTGATGTTGATTTCATTTTGCCCACAACAGGTTTTAACCAACCTTGGTGATGCCCATTAGGAGATTTGTCACTGAAGTCTTAAGACTAACTAATCAGGGCTTTTAGTGTGTGCCTGTGTTAAGGGTGTCTTCTGTGTTAAGTATGGAAGCACAGCAGATTTAGTGTTGCATTTATCCTTTGACCCAAGTCAAGACCCATTTACCAGTTGTAGAAAAAAGATGATAACCCTGAGTAGAACAAAAAGCCTTTGTGTTGAACGATAAGGAATGCACCATAACAGCTTCTCTTTGGCTGCAGTTGGCAGGCTGGAGGGATGTTTGGGAGAGAGACCAAACAGTTATTCCGTCACCCTCTTAGCCAAAATATAAGCCATTAAGCATTTTATTGCTGTCTGATTCCACATTTTGGATCTCCATTCCCACTGTGCTTGAACAGCCATGTAATGTAGGATTGCCACAGTAAGGTCTCCCTGGAGACTCCGATCCTCTTCTCCGGAGGCTGAACAACCCCAACTCTCAGCCTTTCTTCATAGCAGAAGTTTTTCAGCTCTCTGATCATTTTTATGGCCCTGTCTGGACCCACTCTAGCAGGTCTATGTCTGTCTTCTACTGGGGACTCCAGAGCTGGGTGCAGAACTCCAGGTGTGGTCTCGTGAGAGCAGCATAGAGGGGGAGAATTGCTTCCCTTGACTGCTGGCCATGCTGTTTCTTACATTCTTACATAGCCCAGAACATGATCAGCTTTCTGGGCTGCAAGCACACATTGACAGCTCATGTCCAATTTTTCATCCACCAATATCCCCAAGTCCTTCTCCTCAGGGCTGCTCAATCCATTTATCCTCCAGTCTGTGTTAATACCAGGGATTGCCCTGATGCATGTGCAGGACCTTGCGCTTGGCCTTGTTAAACTTCTTGAGGTTCATGAAGTTCAAGAGCTTGGTGTCATCTGCAACATCCACAGATGTGTATGGCTTTAAATAATGTGTGTCTCGGCACCCTTGGATCCAGTCTTCGTCTGGTGTATTTCAGTCAGCAGCCTCGGTATTTGAATTACACTTTCATTTTCCGTATCTGTAAAAGTAGTTGGAAATGTGGTGGATTGATAGTCATCCTGCTGCTGCATTGTTGTAAAGGAAATGTGTGTTGTTTACTTAGTGTGGCACCAGTTTGGCTCCAGCACCTGAGTACATGTGATGAACTTTTGAATCCACAGTATTGCCTGTGGGATGGATGTTGTTTTGAATAAGTGAGCATTTGGGGTTTGCCTGGACATGATGTAATGAGGTAATTGCAGAGCCACTTGGCTTTTAACCACAGATAGAGCCTTTTAAAAAAATGTTCTGTATTTAGCTTAACAAAATTAAAAGACATTAATCTTCAGTCTCTGCTACTTCATCAAGTAGTAGAAGAATCGTAGGTTGATGTGCTGACACAAAACTCCCTTGAAACTTAGTTTTCAGGATGACAGTGTTATTTTTCACTGTCTCCAGCAGGATGCCTTCTGTCCGGAAGAAATCTAGAGGTTTACATTGCAGCATGTGTTCAAATTCACATAAGCCGCTAGATAGTCTTCAAGTTCTCATGAAGTTGTTTTCCTCTGCGGTTGAAGAAATCTGCACTCCAGGATTGCAAGACAGACCATGTTATAGTGATGATTTTTGTGCATAGCATAGGTAAATACAGGATGCAGTAGCTGACAGCTCACCTCTGCTGTTTGGCAGGTGGTGGCTGGAAGATCTAGTGATGATCCCATGTGTGTGGTCAGTTGACCTTGGCTGGATGCCAGGTGCCCACCAAGCAGCTCTATCACTCCCCCTCCTCAGCTGGATGGGGAAGAGAAAATAGAACAAAAGGCTCGTGGGTCAAGATAAGGACAGGGAGATCACTCAGCAATTACCATCACAGGCAAAACAGACTCAACTTGGAGAAATTAATTTATTGCCAATCAAATCAGAGTAGGGTAATGAAAAATCAAACCACATCTTAAAATACCTTCCCCCTACTCCTGCCTTCTTCCTGGGCTCAACTGCACTCACAGTTTTCTCTCCCTGCTCTCCCCCAGCCGTGCAGGGGGACAGGAAATAAGGGTTGCGGTCCGTTCATCACATCTCTGCCACTCCTTCCTCCTCAGGGGGAGAACTCTTCCCCTTCTCCAGCGTGGAGTCATTCCTATGGGAGATAGTCCTCCACAAACTTCTCCTTCTCACGAACTGCTCCAGCATGGGTCACTCCCATGGGGTGTGGTCCTTTGGGAACAGACTGCTCCAGTGTGAGTTCCTCATGGGATCACAAGTCCCACCAGCAAACCTGCTCCAGTGTGGGCTCCTCTCTTCATGGGGTCACAGGTCCTGCTAGGAACCTGCTCCAGCATGAGCTCTCCACACGGTCACAGCCTCATTCAGGTGCATCCACCTGCTCTAGCGTGCAGTCCTCCATGGGCTGCAAGTGGATAGCTGCTCCAGTGGACAACCTGCCTCACCATGGCCTTCACCACGGGCTGCAAGGGGAATCTGCTCTGGAGCACCTCTTCCCTCTCCTCTTTCGCTGACCTTGGTGTCTGCAGAGTTGTTTCTCTCACATATTCTCACTCCTCTTTTCTTTACCCCCTTCTTAAATATGTTATCCCAGAGGCACTACCACCATTGCTGATGGGCTCAGCTTTGGTCAGTGGACCAAAGTCTATCTTGGAGCTGGTTGATGTTGGCTCTGCCAGACATGGGGGAAGGTACTAGCAGCTTCGCACAGAAGCCACTCCTGGTAGCCCACCTCACTACCGAACCCTTGCCATGCAAACCCAGTACATTGTGCTTGCATTTAACAGTTTTTTTCAGATAAAATTCATATAGTAAAATTGGTGACCGCATCCTATTTGTGTTTCTCTAAAAGGGAAAAGTTGTGCCCAAATTAACCGTGTCACGGAAGAAAAGCATTTTTTTTTCAAAAATTCATAAAATATTAAAAGGTTTCAAAGTGCAGATTTCAACTGATGGTTGGTTTTGACTGTCCACAACACTGTTAGGCATTTAATGGTTTAATATTACGTTGTATTTGTTATAGACATTTTTAACTGAAAAATAAATATACAGTGTTGAAATGTCCATAGTTGTCTTTAAATGACAAGAATAGAAGCATTGCACGGTGAAGGCACCTTAATCACCTAAAAGGCGCAGGTTCAGTATTTTGAGTCTGGATAAACAAATGATTTCCAAATAGTAGTGAAGAGGAGACTATTTAAAACCTCAATCAACCATGGTAGCCTAAATTAAATCACAGCAGTTGTCCACCTGGGAAGCATTTCTAGCAATGAATGGAGATTTGACTGAATCACGTTGGAAAATAAATTGTCTTAAGTTGTGGCCTTTTGTTTTGATTTTAATATGATACTGGACTTGATGCTTCTTGCAGTATAAATTTTCAAGTAGCACCTTAAAAATATTGTAGTTACATTGCAGCTGCCATTTGCATTTGTTGATCCAAGATATTCCTCTTTCAACGAACCTGGAGGGACATTCTTTTGAAAGAAGCAGGCTGTGAATTTCAGGAGGTTCTTGTGTGAAAATAGGGAAGTAGTCAAAATATTATTTTAACTATACCTGCATTAGAAAATATTATTTTTTTCCTTTTTTTCGTATGCATCCCACAGGTCATAAATGTTGATGGAACAATGAGGAAAACCCTCCTAGAAGATAAGCTTCCACATATATTTGGTTTCACACTGCTGGGAGATTACATCTACTGGACTGACTGGCAGAGACGAAGCATTGAACGAGTTCACAAGACAAAGGCTAGCAGAGACATCATTATTGATCAGCTGCCAGATTTGATGGGTCTTAAAGCAACAAGTGTGGCCAAAGTGTTTGGTAAGCATGAGCAATCACAGGATGGGTCTGTAGTAGTTTCTAAGATGGGCTTGCTTTCATTAAGCAACTGTTCATCGCTTGTAATGAGAATAACTGTGGTCTCATATGTTGGAATCATTTTAAAGGAAAACTGCACCTATGGTTTGTAAAGTTGGGAAAATACAGTGCTGCAAAAGAAGTATGGGCTTCCAGTTTTTAGTGGCATTTGATGTAAGACTTCCACAGCTTCCACTACACTCTTTGAGTTTTTGTGAGAATTTTATTCCTCCCTCCAGTCTATAGGAATCATTACTTCTAGTGTTCACAGAATTGCTCCACTTTCTGTTGCTCTCTTCTTCCAGTACGAAGTCCCAGTGATGTGCAGTTAGTAGAATGGTTTTTACTGTGTTGGGTGGTATAGGCAGAGTTAGTGGCCATTACAATGTTACCTCAAAGCACGTGGTACTTAAATATTTAAATTTAACACCTAAATCATGCTTAAATCATTTAACAATTAAGTCTTGCCTTTAGCATGGGATCAGCAGCTGGAGCTCTGTGTTCTTCCACTGCATCTGCTGAAAGGTGCAGCCAGTGTTTTAGGTCTTCTGCCAGCATTCTGCAGAGGAGTATGTCACAGGACCTCCTGGCTTCAGGAGTAACTCAGAAGAGGTGTGAGTTCACTACAGATGTCTACTACCTGGAACATTGGAGTCCAGGCATAGCCGTAAACGGATTCATTGGTCAGCTATTAAAATTACTGAGAGTAGTTTCAACAGAATCACGTAATGTAGGTTGTTAAAAAATCGCTGCCAGTGCATGGATTTCAAAGCTTTACTTGAAGGATGATCAAGTCCTCAAGCTGCAGGTTATGGCATCAGTCTGAAATATGTATTCCCTAAATAGGGAAAATTAAAAGAAACTTGATTGAGACTGATCTTGGAAATTTTTTTTTGTGGTAGCAGTCTTTAAATACCTGAATTCTTGCTTCCAGCAGATGGAGAAAGGCAGTCGCTTATATTTTGGTCCTTACTTTCCCGTCCACATTCCTTTGCCATCTGGTCATGGTTGTTCACACAAAAAAATAAGTGTGAGATTGTGGTGATCTTGTTGGAAATGCTTCTGCTAATGAATCTTCTCATCTTTAAATTAAATAGCTGTGAAAACTGCAGTTTTCCAGCTCTTTTCTCACTGTGTTGTATCATTGAACGTTTGTACAACTGGTGGTTTCAAAGAGATACAAAGATGGGGTACTTAGCCAAAAATAACCAAGTCGGACATGTATGTACTCACCTGCCTTCAGTGAAGGAATTTAATCTTTGGAGAAACTAGAAGGATATGTTTGTAGCTGTTGTTTGTACTGTAGAAGGGATTGGACCAGCTTCTTAATCCTTGGGTAGAAGGGAAGAAACAATTTTGAATGTTTTTTTTTTTTTAATTCCCTGTTGACAACCCATAGTGTTAAATTATTTTGAAAAATTATAATTAGACTGCGTTTCTGCTCAGCCTTCCTCCCTCCCCTTTCCCCCCTACCTCCACAATGCAGTAATCTAATTTTTGGTTTTTGTTTTTTGTTTTTTTAAGGAAATAATTCATGTGCAGAGAATAATGGAGGATGCAGCCATCTGTGTTTCTTTACACCCCAGGAGACCAGGTGTGCCTGTCCCATTGGCCTTGAGCTGTTGAGTGACATGAAGACTTGCATCATTCCTGAAGCCTTCTTAGTATTCACAAGCAGAGCAGCAATTCATAGGATTTCCCTTGAAACCAATAACAATGATGTTGCTATTCCTCTTACTGGAGTCAAGGAAGCATCTGCTCTGGATTTTGATGTCTCTGATAACAGAATCTATTGGACTGATGTTAGTTTGAAGGTATTACTGACGTATGAATTCCCTGAATATAAAGCCACAGAGCAGTTAGTTTGATATAAGAGAGGTCTCTGTTACATGATCTGTCCTGCAGTTGCTAATGTTGTCATTGCATCCAAGGAGACACTTGGACATGAAGACAGTTGCATTGTTGCATGCACAGTTGGGTGATGGGCATCTTCCTGCTTCAAATAAAAGTCCATAGTGGTGTGTGCTCATACGGAATGCCCAAATCTTGGATGCTGCATCTGTATATGCATCTATTGTAGAAAAGCTATTTTCATGTCACATAGTAGAGTAATTTAGACATTGAGCTTGGCAACTCCCTGAGCTTTCTGTACTCTTCCAGTTTGGACTTGGAAGGCAATCTTACTCAGTATTAACTTTGGCAAGTGAACTTTGGATTGGTTGCTCTCAGTCTGTGGCTCCAGCCTGGCACAGCAGTGGCCAGGGAGCTTGTCCAGTTCCATCCACACTGTGTTAAACCCCGCTCTGCCCCCAGTTCTATCTCAGTGTGTTCCCCAAGAGTTTGACATTTCCTGTGGCATGTTTGGTTCATATCCAGGTATATGCTAAAATGAGTATTGTGCTGTTCATCAGCGTTACTTTGCTTTTTGAAGTGAATTAAGTAATGGTAGAAAGTTACAGATTCATTTCACTGGAGCTGAATTCCTCTGTTTAGACTCTTAATAGATTTTCCAAGAGCAATCAAAGTTTCCCTGCCAATGTGCCCAAGCCATAGCAGGGAAAAGCTCACGTTTAGTGACTGCAGGGCACGTGCAATTTCCATAGCCTCTGTGTGAAGACTAATGAGGGTTATGCTTCAGGGGTAGCAGTGCTGCTTGTGGAGTGGATACTTTTCCTTCAGGAAAAGTACCAGTGTAATAAATTAGCATACTGCAGACACAGTTACTAAATAAATGTCACGAAAGCATGCAGGGAGCTGGAGCTGTAGTCGTCTTAACTGTTTGTAGTGGAAAATACATTACCTCAGCTGCGTCAGTCTGTAGATCCCAGTCTCACTCTATGCAGAACTGAAAAACATTTCAGTTGTTTGTGGCCTCCTGAATTATCCAGCATACTGTATTTTCACATACATACCAGGGTATGTTTCAGCACATCTGGGTTATCATTCCCCCTGTCCCCCCTGCTTCCTGCAGCTTAGCAGCAGGTAGTATAACTTCAGAGCCCATAGTCATCTCCTTTTCCTTTGGTGACCACCACTTCCCTGATCTCCTCCTGCTTCTGGTTATATGCGGACTCATTTTTCTGAGTTGTGGGTTATACCTGTGAAAATATACTACATGATTTCTGGTTTTAACATTCACCTTTAAAAATATAAATGTCTCTTACCTGATACGTTCATTTATTGAATTATTAAGAAATTAACAGCTGAAATATTAGCAGGCATATAGAATGATTGCTTGGTTTTGATAACAAGGGTGGGTAATTGCGCATTGATCCTGGAAGTTACCAGTGATTTACCTGGGGGTTTTTTCAGTGCTCCTCGTTAGGGTTGGCTTTATGGTATGTACACAGTCCTTGCCCTATGACTTGTTTTGTTGAGTGTGTGTAACTAAAACACAGGTGGGATCAGCAAACTTGCTCCAGATGACTGATCATGAGAAACACTTTGATTCAGATTTCACTGAATTGAAATGTGTTTCTGAGACTTAAAACATTACAGCAAATTAAGTAATTAAAAAAACACACCTTCATGTGTGCATATAGGAGAGAGGAAGAATCTGCAGTTACATAGTGCTTTCTGAAAATCGTATCCTTTTAAGAAGTCTTGGACTGGTCATCAGAAACCACTAGCTTTCTAGAAATTCAGATGTTTTTATCCTGTGAATTGCTATATCTTTTTTGACAACAGAAATTTTTAAAAATGTAACACTGGCTGATTTTTTCTTACTAATTTCTTTTTGTACACTAAACTTCATAATAATTATTCTTTTTTATTTCAGTGGGGTGTCTGCAAACACTTCAATATTTTTGCACAATTTTTTTCCAGACTATAAGCCGAGCTTTCATGAATGGGAGCTGTGTTGAACATGTGATTGAGTTTGGGCTAGATTATCCTGAGGGAATGGCTGTAGACTGGATGGGAAAGAACCTCTACTGGGCAGATACTGGAACCAATCGCATTGAAGTAGCCCGCCTGGATGGACAGTATAGGCAGGTCCTTGTGTGGAAGGACTTGGACAACCCAAGGTCTCTGGCTCTTGATCCTACCAAAGGGTAAGGGACAGTGTTGTTTTTCAAAGCTTTGTGTGCATATACTGCTATGTGACGAGTTAACTGGCAGTTTATATAGCTCCTTTTCTTCAGGTCTTTGAAAAGATGATAAATGCTCCACAACCCTGTGGGTCACAATGAAATATTAAGAATTGTCAGTCATGTTTTTCTGCCTTTGTCTAAAAAAGGAGTACTGTAATACTGCACGTAATCACATGGGTTATTCCTCTTTTTTTTAAAAAAAAAAAGAACTGAAAATAAATTTAGAAAAATCAAAGCATGCAGCTAAACACAGTCCTACCTAGCTGATGTACTCACTTTGTTGCACTTCTTATTGCAGGTACATGTACTGGACTGAATGGGGAGGCAAACCTAGGATTGTTCGAGCATATATGGACGGAACAAACAGCATCACTTTGGTGGACAAAGTGGGTCGTGCCAATGACCTCACTATTGATTATGCAGACCAACGGCTATATTGGACTGACTTAGACACCAGCATGATTGAGTCATCAAATATGCTAGGTAATCTGGTGTTATATTGCACCAGTCAGTACAGAAATACACACTGACCATAGTAAAGCAATCGAATAATGTAATTGATATTAAATCTGTGTGTATAGTTTGCTTATGAGAGGAAAAGGAGAGTTAAATGTTTAAGGAGATAAAAAAACTTCCTGAATTAATGACCAAATGATAATTTGTAATGATGGTGAGATATGATGTCATTTCTCTGTATTGATACGAAACTGCCTGTGTTTTACCAAAGCAGTGATGACCCCTTGAGTTTCTCAAAGTGAGGACAAATTGTAGGTTCGCTGTAAACTACCCCTGACTTTTCAGTCTGGACACTAGTTCTGTGTTGAAGTGTCATCTCTGTTTCCAGCTTCAGACTAGTTGTATTAGTTCAAAACCAAAACCAAAATACTGCTTGCGTTTCCTGCAGTCTGAGCAGTTGTGCAGCTGCTTCTACAGTGTATCACAACATGTTTTGTACACAACTTTACACATTTTCCCGTCTTCCATTGGAATTTCATTTATACCTTCAAGGGTTGTGTTAAGATTTACTAAACTTTCACATTAATATCAACACGATAACTAACCGCATAAAAGAAGGGAGTTTTGTGTTCTGAAGCTGACATAGAGCTTTTTTATCCTTCTGATGGTTTGTAAATATTAAATGGTCTTCGAGGTTTTAGCAGAGGCAGATATGAATTCGTTTTAGAGAAAACAAAGTTTATATGAGTTTCCAAATGCCATGCAGTGAATCAATGATAGGATCAGAAATGGAATTCAGAAGTTCCTGACCTCACATCCTATCCCTGATCCATTTCCAAGGAGAGACCTTTGTGAGATGGGAATTAATGCCTCTGGGATTCCAATGTAAAAAATCAAAGTTTATGTGCCAGAACATCCTGTAATTAAGCAAACTTACACAGAACTGTTACAAACAATGCTCTGATTGATGACATATATAATTTCCCTGAAACTCTTCCCTCCCCCCCCCTCCCCCAATCTGTGAAAAGCTACTATTAGAGTGAGACTTTCTTTTTTTAAGGTGTTACTGTGTGTGCGTATCTTCAGAGTGTAGAGAATCTACTAAACTCAGGAAAACAGAGTGATGCAGTTTTGGATTCCGGGGCTATCACTGCTTTTGCATTTCTTGTACTTGTTGCCTTGGGATGACAACTACTGAATGGATGTTACTGTTTAGAAATTGCAGTAAGATTGTTTCTTTATCCAGAGTTGGTTTTTTTTCCATCCTGAGTGCATTGATCTGTCAAAGCTTTCACTAAGCTTTTGCATTATACTTAGAGAAACAAAATAGCCGGAAGCAAGTTCAAACTAGAAACTGTTGTGGCATTGAGAATAAACACGACATTAAAATAATCTGTGGTAAATTAAGCTGATTCTAAAGCCGAATTTACTGTTACCATTTATATGTGGTAAGAAAGTAGAAGGATGAGTGCTAAAGCAAACGATGTTGTATGATGTCCTTTTAGCTAGCAGATTATAGTCTCAGGTAGACTTCTAGCAAGTGGGCTCAGCAGTTAAGGAAATGTTAATAGGCTCGGCCTGCGTTATGCAGTGAGAGTCTCCTTGCCAAGAGAGATCTGAATGAGTGTTGCTGATAAAATAACCCACCAGTAATGAATAAGACACTCTTAAGTGGATGAAGGAATGCTTTCCCAGCTTAATCTTGGGCATCACATTAACCAGCACGAAAAAATCACTCTTTTGGGAGATTTTCCTCCATCTATTGACTATCAAAATTCAAACAGACAGCTTATCTGCTTCCTTCAAAAGAGCCTATCCCCAGAATTAATCACTGTGGACCAGAATCGCTCCAAGAAGCACCTGAGAGTGTGCAGGACACCTGTGCCCCTAACTTGGACACTTTAGATGCCTAAAAGTAGTTGGAAAGGTTGCCTCTATATTTAGTTCTGATGGTTTATATGGAAATGACTTCATGTTCTAATTTTTGACTTTTTCATTCCTTCTCCAATCATGGCCAAATGGGAGAGGGAATGACAGAAAGTAGGGCAGGGAAAGAAAAATGAAGTATTCTGTAGAATCTGGCATTGGACATTTGTTTGAGGCAGAAGGAGTTAATGTTGAGGAAGGCTACATCTTCATTTCATGTAAAGTGGCAGAGATTCATAGAGGTTTACACTTGAAAATGTTTAGGAAGGTGATTTGCAGTAACACTTTATCTACTTTAGTAGAGCATCTCTGCCAAAGGCCTTCTAATGCTCTTGAAGGTGTTGAATCTGTTGTGAATGTTGCTAACTGAGCCCCACTGAGTGTGGGAGTATTGGGATTTCTGCCAAACAAATGGTTTCCTAATCTCTTGGAGTAGCTGTATGTTAAATTGCACTGCAAATGATTTGTGTTTCTTGAGTGAAACACCTTAGTTTCTCATAGCTATTTCTCTATGAATCTCAAGTTTGTTGTACGTTGTTGCTGTCACACATATTAATTTGAGTTTTTTATTGGCTGAAGTGATGCCTGGAGCTGATAGTATTCTTGAATATGTTTTCCATTATCTATTTGGGATGATAAGAATGAGACACATAAAGTAGTATTTATTTAAATGGCCATATGCTGGCACAGTTCCAAATTGCTGTATAGGCAAGAGAGTGTCAAGATAAGGTTTTTGAATGCAAGTGTTGAGGTTACCTCTTGAGCAGATACTGCTTAATAATGAATCCCATGATGGTGAATTGGGAAATGAGGTTTATTTTTAAAAGGGAAGAAAAAACTTTTTCTTTATGCCAGTCACATCTTCATTTAATGACTTGAGAATTGTCCTTTAGTTGATTATCCTTATTTTTGCAGGACAAGAACGAGAAATCATAGCAGATGATCTACCTCATCCGTTCGGATTAACCCAATACAGTGACTACATCTACTGGACAGACTGGAATCTTCACAGCATAGAAAGAGCAGACAAGACCAGTGGGAGGAACAGGACGCTTATTCAGGGCCACCTGGATTTCGTGATGGATATATTGGTCTTCCATTCTTCACGTCAGGATGGCTTGAATGATTGCGTGCAAAATAATGGCCATTGTGGTCACTTGTGCCTTGCCATACCAAATGGATTTAGGTGTGGCTGTGCTGCTCATTATGCCTTGGATCCCAACAGCAGGAACTGTACTTGTAAGTCTTTTTGTTTGCTGCTGTGTTCTTCAGTGCTTGTGGCTCCCAGGCGCTTGTGATCACTTTCAGTATAGAAAAGGAAGGGATATCACAAATCCATTTCAAAGGTTCTGGCTTTAAAGGTGACCATTCAATACAAGGACAGAGTATGGAGTTTTATATCCATTCTTGTGACATGAATTAGAGCTGAAGATTTGTATTTCAAATCTTAGAAATAATAGCACTGTCAAGTCTGGTCTTGTTTTACTACAAGTGCTTTCCAGGTGATTCAACTGTGTGACTGAAGCTTTCCCAGTCCTTACCTAAGTGTGTAGGTGGGTGGAAAAGAAATTCTAAACAAAAAATGTTTTTTTCTCTGAAGTGTTTAATAAAGTTAGCATAAATAACATCCAGTAAAACAGCCTTGTAAGTAGGCTGTGCAATGTGCACATGCACTTAAAATTCATAGACTTTTTTTTCCCCCTGTATGTGGTATTATGAGCCTGCCAGTTCACTGGTTGTCTAAGAAGAATTTAAGTTTCTAGTAAAAATAGCAGATTAATAGAAAATGGACTGCTGACTTCAAAAAAATAAACCAACAAAGCTTTGAGTATCCTGGCACAGTAGCATATAAGGAAACTTTAACTGGATGAAAGGATGGGTTTATGAAAGGCATGTCCTGCTTGACTAACCTGATCTCTTTCTATGACAAGATGACCTGCTTAGTGGACAAGGAGGGGCTGTGGATGCTGTTTACCTGGACTTTCATAAAGCCTTTGACACTGTCTCCCACAGCATTTTCCTGGAGAAACTGTCTGCTCATGGTTTGGACAGGATACCCTTCACTGGGTGAAAAACTGGCTGGATGGCTGGGCCCAAAGAGTTGTGGTGAATGGAGTTCAATCCAGCTGGCAGGCAGTCACAAGTGCTGTTCCCCAGAGCTCAGTACTGGGGCCAGTTCTATTTAATTTCTTTATCAATGATCTGGATAGAGGGGATCGAGTGCACCCTCAGTCAGTTTGGAGAAGAGTGCCTGAAAAGCTGCCCGTTAGAAAAGGACATGGGGATATTGGTCAACAGTCGGCTGAATATGAGCCAGCAGTGTGCCCAGGTAGCCAAGAAGACCAGTAGCACCCTGGCTTGTATCAGAAATAGTGTGGCCAGCAGGACTGGGCAAGTGATTGTCCTCCGGTACTCAGCACTGGTGAGACTGCACCTCGAATGCTGTGTGCAGTTTTGGGATCCTCACTACAAGACAGACATTGAGGTGCTGGAGTATGTCCAAAGAAGGGCAATGAAGCTGGTGAAGAGTCTAGAGAACATGTCTTATGAGGAGCAGCTGTAGGAACTGGAGTTGTTTAGCCTGGAGAAAAGGAGGCTGAGAGGAGACCTTATTGCTCTCTACAACTACCTGAAAGGAGGTTGTAGTGAGGTGGGTGTCGATCTCTTCTCCTGAGTAACAAGTGATAGGACTAGAAGAAACGGCCTCAAGTTGTGCCAGGGAAGGTTTAGATTGGATATTAGGAAAAATTTCTTCACCAAAAGGGTTGTCAGGCCTTGGAACAGGCTGCCCGGGGAAGTCACCATCCTTGGAGGTATTTAAAAGAAGTGTAGACATGGCACACAGGGACATGTTTTAGTGGTGGACTTGACAGTGTTAATGGTTAGACTCAATGATCTTAAAGGTCTCTTCCAACCTAAACGATTCTGTGACAATATAGGAAAACCTGTGATTGTGTATTGCCCACCATTACTAGAGTTACTTAAATTCCACATAGGGAACATAGTTATTTTATAATCTGAAAAGGAAATGCTTTCTGGGTGAGGAAAGTCCAGAAGTACGCAAATATTTTCAACTTAATAGCAAAAATCTCCAATTATGAATTACATTGATTTTCATTGTGAACATAATTGTCTCTGAGATTTTGTCCTAAATATTCTTTGTCTTTCATGTGGGTGTATTTTTGACCATGTGAGTTGCATTTTCTTATGCATTCTGTTTTGGCTTGTTTCAGCCCCTGCCAGCTTCCTGTTGTTTAGCCAGAAATCTGCAATCAGCCGAATGATTCCGGATGATCAGCAAAGTCCAGATATCATCCTGCCTATGCATGGTCTAAGGAATGTCAAGGCTATTGATTATGATCCCTTAGATAAATTGATCTACTGGGTGGATGGACGTCAGAATATTATAAAAAGAGCCAAAGATGATGGCACTCAGGCAAGTTTACATGGTGTATATAGTTTTGTGTTGGTCTTTCTGTGCGCCTTGTATTTTATGCTTGATTTTCCCCTTCCTTTATGTGTACCAAGGAATCGTCATTTTAAACTTTACTCTTGCCCGCACTTACTCATGTACGTTCTATTTAGATGGGAAAATTACTGACAGCTTTTAGTATCATGGTTTAATTTATGCACGAAGAAGTGTAATATAATGTAGTACATTGCATGTATCTGAAACTGTAAGCCTTGAATTGCAATCTTTAGTAAAGGATGGTCACTGGAGTAAGGCAGACTCACTATTTATACTCAGGAAGGATAAGTTGTATTCTAAAATCAATATCGTGCATGCCAGTTGTGTCATGGTATTGCCATCATTGTAAAGCTCTCTCAAAATGAAAACTCTCAGCTATCTCAGTGGTAGTTAAACCCTGAATGCATGTAGAATCAACTGGTGTGCTAGACAGGGATAGGCTTATCTACGTGCTTAATTGTTTTACTGAGTTGGGGGCATTATTCTTTTGCACTAGTTATTCATTGGAAAGAAGCGTATTGTTCTTCCAGGAAGTGTAATGTGTTAACATAGCTTAACTCCCCGGTCAAGACAACAGATTCTTTAAAAACTATGATTTGAATAAGAATATAAAACAAAATGGAGAATGAGCAAGTTATATTTTCCTAGTTCTTGGACAGTCATATCTAAACAATATGACATGATGACAATGGAAAGGGACTGGTCTATCCATGCATCGAGGGACTCAGATGTTTTGCGGTTTCCTTTAAAGGAAGAGATGACAATTTTTTTTTTTTTGGCCACTTCTTTTAAGATTGGGAGGAGGTATGTTGGGACGAGCAGCTAGCTGGATTGTGGATGAATTTTGAAGAAGTTTTCCTCTTGCTCTTTGGGATTATGCTAGGTGCTAATTGTTGTAGTGTAGCTTCTCTTTGGTACTTGCTAGGTGCAAATTGCAGCGGAGATTCATTTGCTCTGTTTTCCTCTACCTTGGTCACACAGCTTTGAAGATGCAGATCCCCTGCAAATGTTGACTTTCTAATTCTCACTAACTGTATTTACTTAATTTTGTTAACTCGTGCTGTTTGCAGATGCTGCATATGAATTTCATACCTGGGTAATGTTACCTTTCATTTCAGGAAAAGAATGATTTCTTTGTATTTCTGTGCACACTGTCAAGACAAAATAGGAATATAGCTTTATATAGAAAGAAAAAAAGACTGTATATCACTGTGCAGACCTTGGAGGCTTAAAACCAAATTGTGGAAATATAACTTTCACAAGTAATTCTGCGTTGGGTAATTCGTTTGACTTAAACTGAGCACAAAATGGTGTCTTCAGCTTTCTTGACCCATATGAACTTCTTCTGGTACTGTTTTTGTGTTTGGATTGGGAGCGCTGCATTAGGACACTTAAGAAGCCACTGCTTTCCCCTTAACATTATTATGTCATCAGAAGCAGTGACCTCTGAAGATTGCTTTGATGTTGGGAGTCCTGCCAGCAATATTATTATCCCAATGGCACCGGGATTGTACAGTGGAGCCTCCATAGCATTGAACAAACAACAGAAAGACTGTTTTCCTTTAAGGATTTTTTTATATGCTCTGGTGCTCTTCACAGAAATAAAGTATTGAAATCTATGTTATTGTTCAATGTAGAGTTAAAAAATGTAGTAAATAGTACATTAGTTAGATTGGAGAGGGTTAAGGGTAGTGATTCCGGGAACTTGACAATAATGTCAAGCTTTGTAAGGTCCATCATAAAGACATGAGGGTGAAAGCAAGGTGATGTTGTCAGTATGGGTGTGAAGTAGAGCTGTAGCCATGTGACCTGCAAGCAAACAGAAACAAGTTTCATTAAAAGATTTTAGCTTTTAAGAGAAGCCAGGACTTCAAGAAAATCAATGTCTACTACACTACAGATAATGAAGTAAGGAGACTTTGGCAAGAGACAGAGATTTCTTCACCTGACTGTATAACAGTATAGGTCTGTCTAGAAGGCTGCCTTGTTTCCTGCATTGTTTCATTCAAGGTTGTTCCATGCATAAACATTCACTCTTGTTTTTTTCCATCTCCTGCTAATTAATTCTACTTATAGGAGGCCTCACAACTGCTTTCTGAGGAGTTTTGCATAATCTTACACGTTTTGTCCAGATGTTTTTCCTCTAATCCACAGTTTGAATCAAATCTTTTTTTTTTTTTAAGCTTTGTCACATTTCTTATATTTGCTGTTTCCTCATGGGTGCTTTTAGGTGTCTCTGGACTGGATTAATCAAAAATTGGAATAATTACTGGAAATTTTTCCGCCTGTGTTGTCTTGCAGCCTTTCACTGTCATGAGTACTCCAAACCAAAGCCAGAACCCAGAGAAACAGCCACATGACCTCAGCATTGATATATACAGCCATACCTTGTACTGGACCTGTGAGGCCACAAATTCAGTCAATGTCCACAGGCTGAATGGCAAGTCAATTGGGATGGTGCTGCGAGGGGATCACGACAAGCCCAGAGCCATTGTAGTGAACGCAGAGCGAGGGTGAGATTCAGATTCCTTTCTGTATCTTGTACGGAGCACTTGTGGAATGTATGTCAGCTGTGTGTGTGAATCTTGTATTGCATCTGTATATTTTTAAAAAGAATTTTGGCATATTTAATTTTTCAGGATGTCGGTGACTGCTTGTCCAATTCTGGCTTTTAAAGGTATCCAGCTTTCTCTTCCTGTTCTCTTCTTTCCTGCCTCCTCTGGTATGCCGACTTGGACGTTCACACAGCCATGGGGTTGGTTAGAGTGAGGAACTAACCTAGGTGGGGGAGCAAAGCAAAACCACCTTAACCTGTTGGCTGCATGAGTGCACAGCCCCACCACCTGATAGGAAAAACAGGCTCATAAAGGTTTGGTCATCATAAAACAAATATTTCCAGGGAAAAAAGGGATTTCTCATATGATACAGCTATTATTGCTAATGTAACAGTATAAAGTTAAACAAACAAACAAATCCCTTATTTTCTATTTATTTTTAAGTTAATTCTGCCTAGATGTGTATCTCAGAAACTTCTGAAATTAATTAAAACAGGTAGGATGCACTAGAGTGACTTCCCACAGGAAGAAAATATGTTGTTTTGCTGTAGAGCAGTTTTGGTTAGATTCAGCAGACCCCATCTCCACTTCAGGTGGCTAGTAGCTTCATTCTTAGAGGTCAAAGATGGTCCTTTACTGTTCTCTTTAATGAGTTAGGTGCTTAAATCTCAATTTACTCCTAAATGGCTTACCATGTGCGTGACAGACGGTGAATGACAGTATTTCGTAACCGTGTGGATACAGGAGCACCCAGAGACTCTGTCTGGAGCATTTATAGGTATTTTATACAATACTCAGTGTTCGCTGCACAGTTCAAGAGCTGGTGTGGGGAGAGGAGCATTAGAGGAAACATTCTAATCTTATTGAGACTAAGTCACTTGGACATAGTTTGTATTTGTAAAAGCTTATCTGCCTTTTCCATTAAAATGGGAGTTTGAGTTTGTTGATCTCTAAAACTTTCAACTTTTCTAGTCAGGTTTTTGAATAATTTAAAGATAAATCTGTTTTTAAATTAAAGGACAAAAACATGGGGGAGAGACTGCTCAACACTGTGACTACTTGGGAGAGCTGAATGAGTGATCTGTGTACTGAACTTCTGCCTTAGTTCCAGAAATCCTTCCTTCCACCTCTCCCTTGGCTGCAAGTTCTCACTGCTGCCTCTCCTCCTGTGCCATCACAAAATGCTATTGTCCACAAAATGCTATTGTCATAGTCTAGGCTGGCAACTACACTCCACGCAGCCACTCGCTCACCCTCCCCCACCCCAGGAGATGGGGGAGAAAATTAAAGGGGAAAAGGGACGGAGTCTCGTGGGTTGAGATAAGAACGATTTAATACTACTAATAGTAATAAATGAATGTATACATATGTATAATGGTAATGATAATAATATATACAAACAAGTGATGCACAGTACCTAGTGACCGAGGCCCGTCTGGTCGTCTCAGACTAACGATCCTGAAATAGATAAGTTCCAACACTGCAATCCTGGACAAGCGAGAGGCCCAAAAAGAGAGTGAGAGAGAGAGAACTCTGAGAGCCTGAGAGTGAGAGCTCCCAGAAGAGCAAAAGCCCCTCTTTCCAGTCAACCCTCGTTTTCATACATGACGCTGCATGATATGGAACACTTCATTGGCCAATTTAGCCCTCAATGCTAAGTCTAAGTTCAAATGATAAGGGGACTTGTCGACCCTCTATGCTCTTCCCGAGCCTGTTGTGCTCCTGCACACTGGCAAGAACACGGCAGCTGGAAAGTCCTTGAGGTCTCAGTGCCAACTATAATCATCAGTTCACTATCAACGTTCTTCTCATAGTGAATCCCAGACTAAACCCAAAACACGGAGCTCTTCTCTCTGCTAGAAAGAGCTAACTCTGTCCCAGTTGAAACCAGGACAGCTATGCAGAAATGCAGCCCACTGTGTTAGGGAGTTTGCCCATGTTATCCACCACTTCATAAATGGTGGACTTTTCTCTGAGGGAGTTCTCAGTTCATCATGTGGGTGCATAAGTCCTTTCTTCCCTATGCTGGAGGAGGCCGGAGACTGTCAAGCTGAACTGGCTTAGGCAGGTATAAAGAATTCACGGAACTAAGACATCAGGAAAATGCCATCCTCAGTTGTTCTTCTTTGCTCCTCTCTAGTTTGGTAGGAACTTTTACTTGCTGAGAAGGAAGGCAACCCCAGAAGGAGAGGAGGTGACGGTTAATGTTTTTTGTCAGAAAGAGCTGCTGGGCTTTGATTCACAGATGAGGACAGCTTTACCCAGGTGTGATTGCGGAAAGTCTGTGCTGGTCTGCTACAACCACCACCTCCACTGCAGGAGCAGCGCTGAGTGTTTGGCATGTTATGGTCTGGTGTATTAAGGACAAATGCTATGAATTTCAGGCCATCTCAATATGCCAGTTAGCAAACGTTTGGTGTTCTGCAGCTGGCAGATCTGGATCTTTGCAGCTGGGAGCAACAGTCACTGCAGTCATCCCTGTGTGAACTGTTCCCGTTTACAATGAATTGCCTCTCTTCTGAAGCTCTCAGTTAAACGGCTGGTGTCTTTGTTCTCAGGTACATGTACTTCACCAACATGCAAGAGCGAGCTCCCAAGATTGAGCGCGCAGCCCTAGATGGCACAGAGAGAGAAGTGCTTTTTACAACTGGGTTGATTCGACCAGTAGCACTGGTGGTTGACAACAAACTTGGAAAGCTTTTCTGGGTGGATGCAGATCTGAAGCGTATCGAAAGCTGTGACTTGTCAGGTAAGTGGTACACAGTTAAACACTTGGAGTGGAGAGCGTGTGTGTATGCAACATCATTCCCTCTTTCATGCTGACCCCAGTAACTTCTGTCTCCACTGTTGCCAGTTCTGTGTAGGCAGTCACAGATGACAACTGCTGGCGGGCTCCCATCTTTGATGTGATTGGAATAAACTTGTCTGTAACGATTGCCACCCTCTAAGAGAGCCATTTGACTTTTTATGTGTTCTGAAAGCAACTCTTGCAAGATCAGAACCAGTCATGGAACCCCTAAATCACCTCCCCCATGCCCTTTTTTTTTCCTTATGGTTTGAAAAGTTTACGTAACTCTTCAATTGTTCTTTCTCTGGAGTTTAGCTTAGTAAATCAAAATAGCCTGAAAAACAAATAGAAAGGGAATGGCTTTTTTCTAACGTGGATGAAAAGGCAGCTCATCTGGCATACCAGTGTTGCAGAAGAGTGGAGAGATATCAACTCATTGCAGTGGCCCTACTTTCTGACTGGTGATTCATTTTCTCATCATCATTCATGCATCAAGAAATGGAACTCCTGAAGGAAGTGCAGAGAGAAGTGAACTAATGTGGGGGAGTAGAAGCTGGGCTGCTCTAGTGATTGGTATCTGCCATAAAAAGCTGATTCTCCAATTTTTGGTGGCTCTTCTCTTCTTGCCATGTAGTCACATCCTTCCCTTATGTTGTAGTGAGGAAATGAACTACAACAGGAGAAAATTCACTTTTTTACAAGGACAGTTCACTTTTGAGCACCGAAAACTGAGTCAAGGTCAGACCCCAGTCTCTTCTGCCAGAGAGGGAATAAAAACATGAAGTTGGAGCTGGGAGGGTAAAGCAGCCCATGTCTTTCATCAGTTGTCAAGCTGGATAGGGGCGTATTGTCAAACTGCCTGCATATGTCCAATTCAGGATAGGCATCAGAGAACCTACAAAAATTTGTAAAAGAAGATAGGAGGGAGACAAGACTTGACCTATGAAACAACCCATGTTTGAGAAGAAAAGGTTGACAGAGTGGGACACATAACACGAAATGCATTAGAGATACTGGGAGGATTTGGTCTAGTGTTGAAAGGAGAAGTGCTGTAGGAGGAAATCCAGAAGTAAAAGGACAAGATAGAAAAGTAGCATATTATGCAGGTTTTGTGGCTGAAGTGGTATCCGCAAACGTACGAGAGAGAGAAAAGACACCAAAGAAGATTATATGGCAGTCATACTGTTTGGGAGAGGGGGAATATAGCAGGGGGAATTTAAATACGTTGAGAAGGGAGGACAGGATCTAGAACTAGTACTGCTGCTGATAAAAAGGTGGCCCCCATGTAACAGGAAGCCCTATGACTTAATGAAGCTGTAGCATACAGCGGATCTAGCTATGCCTGGTTCTTCCGCTTGGGTGTACACAAGCACCCTCTTTTCCCCTTTGATTTATCACTTGTGCAGTGTTGAGTCACAGCTACCAGGTGGGGATGGGCGGGGGAACGTGCTTCTTGCTCATTATGTTACAGGTTGGAAGATGGACTGTGTCCTTGCATAGCACAGCATAAAATGCAGAGGAGTCTGTTTATTATTGTTTCAGATGTAAGTCTTGAATCAATAGGAGAATGGGACTTAGGTAAACTGATGTGTGAATAAATCAGCAACCAGGCCATCACATCCTGGTGGTTGTATCCTGTGATTGCAGCTTCCTTTGTACACATTCGTCCTTTTCATGACATTAAAACTCCATGTAAGCATATGTTTGCATACTGGGTATATATTTTAATCTCATTCCTTGGATCTTAGAGGGAGAAATAAACTTTCTCTGGTTAATATTGAACCAAAACTTTTAGTGCACGTTTATTTGATGGGGTCACAGCTAAAGAATCAAACCCTATAGGTAAGATAAAAGCAGAGGAAAGCTACAGGATGAAAAGAATATTAACTAGAGGATATGTATCATGTAGCCAGAAAACTATGGTTGTATTTGATCCAGCTGAGCTCACTCTAATTTCATTCACTGAGCTCTTGATTTTTTTAAATTAGTTAAGAGCATATTTTTATTTTAAAATATTTTGCAGTCTTGCATCACAACTTCAGAACAAATTTGACAGCCAAAGTTATGCTTGCTTGAATTAGTCCCTCTAAAAAGTATTTTCTGAGCAAAACACTTTAAAATGAGCATATATTAGCAAAAGACTTTTAGCATAAACTGAGGCTGCTAAATAAATTGGTCTGAAATTTTGTATAGCGTCCTTCATGTCAATTAGACTGGTCTAGACAGCCTTATTCCTTTATAGATGTGGGGAGGTGACATGGTCATGGAGGTTTCTGAAGCTTGCACTATACCCTGATGAACAGCATCCTGCTAGATTCTGGAATAACCTCAGATGTCCAGTGCTTAACTTTCAGAGAGGCATGAAAGAGCTACAAACCTGTCTAACAGTTTTCTTTACGAGGTTCTTGAATTTTTCAGCTAGAATTGTTGATGCTTTTTAGACACTCATAAACTATTTGCAAATAAATTGTTGCCACACCAGTTGCAAGTAAAAAGTAGTGGTTTATGTCATTGTTGAAGTGAATGGAAAAGCTATAAAATTGCTGCAGTGAAAACGCTTTGTTTTCAATTAGACTTTAAATAGAGGAATTGTGTGTCTTTCCAGCTTAATGTTCTTTACATTTAACTGTTGATTTCCATGTTGAAAAGATTAAAGATCCGTTTCATTCTGGGGATCAAAGTATTTAATTACTATGGAAATTCAACACTTCTTTACTTGTAACATGTTTTCTTTCCTTTTTTTAACCATGCTTGTTGAAAATATCCTTTTATTTATTCAGATCAAGTTTTTCATTTTGATCATTCTTCTAAGCAGCAATGTAATGGTGTTATCCAGTGCTATAGGTGCCCTTTGCCTCTCCTTTTAAAATTATTCATTAATAATTTGGACTGTCATTTACTCAAGATCAAATCCAATTGAATTACGGTATAGGTTAAGCACCTTATCCATTGATATCTCCAGCAGCTTCCCAAATCACCAGTGTTCAGATTTTTGCAGATGAGGGGGGAAAAAAAGGTGATGCTTGAAATATACCTCAAAACCCATTAAATGTAGCCTGTTTTAGGCTTGTATTTGGGAGTTTGTTCAGACTAGGATTCTAGCAGTACTACTAGCTTGCAAGTGTCACCTCACACCTCATATATTCATTACTTCAGGATGCCTTCAGGATATCCTTCAGGAAACCAGCTTGCCTTCTGTTTCTAAATGGATGAGCAATTTAGCACTTAAAAAATCATGAAGGCAGAAGGAGTTTTCTTTATATTGAGTTGAAATGAGGCTTTCCTATTATGTTATCTTGAATGCGGCTGAAAATTGTGCTTTGGGGTTAAGATGTGAGGTTTAGTCTGCGAACAGAAGTCATCTTTGAAAATCCAGTACCACTGAAGTTCTTAGGAGCTAAGTGTACTCAGCAGGTTGCAGGGCAAATCTGTGCTTTGTTTATTGAGAACTTTCTTCTGTCAAAATGTTTCCTAGTATTTCTACATTTTAAGACCTGTTTACAAGAAGACAAAGAACATCTGCACTGCTAGAGAGTACTGCTAAGGGTCACATTTAATGCCCAGTTAGTGAAGTTAGGTGCATCAATTCTGTTCTTTTACTCTTTACAAGAGTAAATTCTGGTACTACCTTGGAAGTGTGTACAGTAACAGACACATCAGATTACAACCAGGACTGTACTGTTGCATACAGTTTATGCATGTTTCTTCTGAAAACTGCAATGAAATAAAGATGTCTTCCTCATTGGTTTGGAAACAAAAGAAATTCAGGGCTAAAGAACTGAAACCTCAATTGCAAGTCCAAGAACTTCTGATCTCTCTATGGCTAAATTTGATTTGAATGCATGCTGTTTATCGTGAACAGCCAAGCAAGAGTCATCGCAGGCAGTAATTCTGTGTGCAAAACTAACAGAATCTGTAATTGAAATAAATGTTGCATTCTCATGCTTGGCTGACTCTACATCATTTATACAGCAAATCAGTTGAATCCAGTGCTCATAGCATTCTTATTATGTATCTAGATTCTATAATCTCATTTCGTGTAGATATTAAAAACTTTTAATTTTTAAATGCAAGCAGACATAAGGTCTTTATTCCAAAATTAAATACAAGAGCAGAGGAAGCATCAAGTTACAGTTTTGTTCTGATTTCTCATTTTTAAAATCAAGTATAACCATTATACATAGGCATACACAGCCTCGAAATGGTTTCTGTGAATCAATGGAATAATTTGGCATCTCTTGGTCACCCTAGAGAAGCATAACAAAAGCGATGATTAAATGTCATTAAGTATAGGGCAGCACACAGTAGACTGCGAACAATTAAAGTTAAAAGCAGTCTTAAATGCATTTTACTTAACCTGATTTTACACATCGGCTAAGAGCAGATTTTTACACATTTCTGTAGAGCAGAAAACCTGAGTGTTTGATAGCGTTCCTGTTTAAGAGCATACTGAGTTATTTGCAGTTTGGGTTTTCTGGTTGGTTATGGAAGAAAAAAGCGAAGGTGAAGAAAGAATTGTGGCTGTTAGAGAGGAGCTTTTCTTTTGTGATCATACCTCTGTGGCTGTGATAATAGCATATGACAGGGTTTGTGTACTTGCCTCTTGCTTTGTTGTGGACACGCTGGAGGGAAGAGGTACCATCCAGAGGGACCTTGACAGGCTGGAGAGGTGGGCCTGTGAGAAGAACCTAATGAAGTTCAACCAGGCCAAGTGCAAGGTCCTGCACATGGGTCAGGGCAATCCCAAGCACAAGTACAGGCTGGGCGGAGAATGGATTGAGAGCAGCCCTGAGGAAAAGGACTTGGGAGTGCTGGTCGATGAGAAGCTCAACATGAGCCGGCAATGTGCACTGGCAGCCCAGAAAGCCAACTGTGTCCTGGGCTGCATCAAAAGGAGCATGGCCAGCAGGTCGAGGGAAGTGATTCTGACCATCTACTCTGCTCTCGCGAGACCCCACTTGCAGTACTGTATTCAGCTCTGGGGTCCTCAGCACAAGAAGGACATGGAACTACTGGAGCGAGTCCGGAGGAGGGCCACGAAGATGATCCAAGGGCTGGAGCACCTCTCCTGTGAAGATAGGCTGAGAGAGTTGGGGCTGTTCAGCCTGGAGAAGAGAAGGCTCCGGAGTGATCTTATTGCAGCTTTCCAGTACTTAAAGGAGGCCTACAGGAAAGCTGGAGAGGGACTTTTTACAAGGGCGTGTAGTGATAGGACAAGGGGCAATGGCTTTAAACTGAAAGAGGGCAGATTTCGATTAGATATAAGGAAGAAATTTTTCACTCTGAGGGTGGTGAGGCACTGGAACAGGTTGCCCAGAGAAGTTGTGGATGCCCCATCCCTGGAAGTGTTCAAGGCCAGGTTGGATGAGGCTTTGAGCAACCTGGTGTAGTGGAGGGGGTCCCCATGGCAGGGGTGTTGGAACTATATGATTTTTAAGGTCCCTTTCAACTCAAACCATTCTATGATTCTATGATTTACCTGAGATGAGGCTGAATAAGCAGAGCCTTGGTCTGCCTAGACGAAGTCCATGACCTTATAGCTGACTATTTTCAGAGCTGGGTTTGGTTTGGTCTGATCTTGATTTTTTTTTTTTTTAAGAAATGAGTTAAAAGTCAACTGGTGTAAAACTAGTCTTTGTTTTTGTTGATCTCAGGTGCTAACCGTGTGACCCTGGAGGACTCCAACATCCTTCAGCCAATGGGACTCACCGTGCTGGGGAATCACTTGTATTGGATTGATCGTCAGCAGCAGATGATTGAGAGAGTGGAGAAAATTAACGGGTACAAACGGACTAGAATTCAAGGTCGAATTGCTCACCTAACCGGCATTCATGCTGTGGAAGAGCTTGATATGGAGGAATTCTGTGAGTTTATTTCAGTATCTGATGTCTCTCACTCTTGGTCACTGCCTGTCAAAGTCCTTATCCAGCTGAATATTGTAATATCATTGCCTAATGGGCTTCAAGTAAGCCATGGAGTGCTTTCAACTTGGCCAGTTGTGATCCTAGAAAAGGAGAAACATCTTCCTCATTCTTGTCCAGAGGAGTATTTTTGCACAGTTAGGATATGTGATCTCATGGCACTTAGTTACCTGCTTTGTACAAGCATGGGAATAAAAATACATATGCACATGTGTGTGCTCACGCACATGTACCTGCGTGCACTTTTTCTGCTACCAACCCGTGCCTCAAACAGTAGAGTCTCCAACACTGTATTAAATTAATGAATTTGTTAAAGGTGAAAGCAGGTTGCAGAGAAGCCTGAAGAGATGGAAAACAACTTTGGCACAGAAATTCTGGTATCTATACCGTTTCTTCCCTGTGGAAATGCCTGGTCCTTACTAGTAGTAAAGCATGCTTTGTTCAGCAGCGTCACAAATAACACAGGCTATAGCCCCACAGATCACTCCAGCAAATGCTCAGCTGTCAGCTCCAATAAGCAGGCAGGAGACTGGGTCTCTTCTGACTCTGTTGGGCTCGGGTCCTCTGACAGTGACCTCAGTTCTCTATGCCTGTTTCTTATCCACCTAATGTTCATTTAAAGCAATTCTATTAGGAACTTTGGGAAACACAAACATGTAGCTTCCTCTCTGTAAAAAAATAATAAAATACCAACTGTATGTGCTTATTGCAGTTTTGTGAGTAACAGGGAAGTGGAGGGGCTAGATAGTAAGAGCTCAGGGTTTTGGGGGTTGGCATTCTGCCATTCTGTTAGTTCTTGATGCCTGGCTACCCTAGAAATGCAGGTGGAATGTCAGGTACGCTGTAAACGTGACCTCCTCAAACCTGCCTCTCAGTCCTCTTCACCTGAGCTCTCAAATTCTTTTTAGAAGTCATTTAAAGGTCTCCATATAACTGTGACTAGGAGAAATGTAGTCCTCATGCAGTAGTAAATCAGCTGTGAGAACCTCATGAAGTTCAACAAGGCCAAGTGCAAGGTCCTGCACGTGGGTTGGGGCAATCCCAAGCACAAGTACAGGCTGGGCGGAGAATGGATTGAGAGCAGCCCTGAGGAAAAGGACTTGGGAGTGCTGGTGGATGAGAAGCTCAACATGAGCCAGCAATGTGCGCTGGCAGCCCAGAAAGCAAATTGTATCCTGGGCTGCATCAAAAGAAGTGTGGCCAGCAGGTCGAGGGAAGTGATTCTGACCATCTACTCAGCTCTCGTGAGACCCCACTTGCAGTACTGTGTTCAGCTCTGGAGTCCCCAACACAAGAAGGACATGGAGCTACTGGAGCAGGTCCAGAAGAGGGCCACGCAGATGATCCGAGGGCTGGGACACCCCTGCTATGAAGACAGGCTGAGAGAGTTGGGGCTGTTCAGCCTGGAGAAGAGAAGGCTCTGGGGGGATCTTATAGCAGCTTTCCAGTACCTAAAGGGGGCCTACAGGAAAGCTGGAGAGGGACTTTTTACAAGGGTGTGTAGTGATAGGACAAGGGGCAATGGACTTAAACTGAAAGAGGGCAGATTTCGATTAGATATAAGGAAGAAATTTTTTACATTGAGGGTGGTGAAGCACTGGAACAGGTTGCCCAGAGAAGTTGTGGATGCCCCATCCCTGGCAGTGTTCAAGGCCGGGTTGGATGAGGCTTTGGGCAACCTGGTGTAGTGGAGAGTGTCCCTGCCCATGGCAGGGGGTTTGGAACTAGATGATCTTTAAGGTCCCTTCCAACTCTAACCATTCTATGATTCTATGATTCTGATTCTTTTGAGCACTGAGCTGAAAAATCCTTCGTTTATCTTCCAATTAATTTGTAGTGAAATCTTGGTTACTCAAACAGAAGTGGTTTGCAAGTAGTTTTGTGAGTTTGCCCTAGCTAGGAGTAGTTATGATTTCTTTTTAGCTGCCTAATATTCTTTCCCATGTGTCTCTCCAGCTGTGCATCCATGCTCCCGTGACAATGGTGGGTGTTCGCACATCTGCATTGCCAAAGGGGATGGGACTCCGAGATGTTCATGCCCCGAGCACCTTGTGCTTCTACAGAATCTCTTAACATGTGGAGGTGAGTTATGTTTGCATAAAAAGTGATGGGGTCTGAGGCTGCATTCCAGTCCAAAATGTGGATTTACACAGTGTTTTCCTACACATGGTGTGTTGCATCATGTGCTAAATTGCCCATTGATTCTTCTACCAGCTGTTTTCTGCTTCAGTTTTTGGACATAGGTGACTTTTCATTGTAAGCAGAATATTCTTGTTTGACCTTAAAATACTTTCATCTTCTGCTGAGGTTTTTATAATTGTATGATGCAACAGGTTTAAACAATTATTGTCTTTAAACAAATGCTTATAAGACGATGCTCCATCAACCTGTGATGACCTAGCAGCAGAAATTGTGCATGTGATTCCCACAGTGTGATACTCCAGTCTTTCAAATGAATTTGGCGTCATAACGTGAAACACTGTACTGCCTAGTTCTGAAATGTAGGCCAAAAGCTCCATCGCAATGATTTTTAATTAAGATAGCTCTTCTCTTTCCACAAGGTAGACTTTTCCTTTAGGTTTCCCTTTCACAATCCCAGGATTTTTGAAAATTGTTACATTACACTTGCAGAGGGGATTAAAAACAAAAGAAAAACGCACATTGTTTCTTTTTCAGAGGCATCATATCTTAAATTGTTTGGCTCTGTTGGTCCTCTTAACTTCTTTTTATGTATTCATTTTGCTGTTGGTTTCATTTTCTGGCTGAACTCTGACCTCCCATGAGACAATCATTTCCATTATAAACTGTTTTCTTTCCCATGACCACAACACACTATGTGGTTTAGAGTAGTGGTGATTACATCTGTAGGGGCAGGTGGAAATCAATCTACTTGTATTTCTTGCTTTGCTGTTGTTGCACAACATGGCCAATGAGAGATCCTTACATCCCACTCCTTTGTTATCTTCAGCTATAAATCTAAAAATTCAGGGGCCTCCATTACGGTGTCTGTTTTTTTATTCTAATCCTTCACTAAACGTGCAACAACTTTTTAACCTATCTTGTCTGCCATAGTAGCAGCCAATAGCTAGTATTTCATACTAGGTTAATAGCTATTCTGGCTGGAGAACATTTGTCCATGTACCCTTATGAATGCTTTTGACAAGTTTTTAAATGCAAGCTTGTCCCTGCCAAGTGCAACCGTAATGCAACATTAAATGTGGCTCTAAATGCAGAAGTAATAATCTGTCTGTTGAATTATCTGAACAGCACACTCATATCAAAATTTATTTCAAGAATTATCTTAATGTGTGTATCTGGCGTCTTCATCTTACCTACAGCTGTCAGGTCACTAGCTACATTTGTAATTGTCATATTGCTACACCAAATAATCAGAAATCAGAAACTTAAAAATCATAATATTTTCAAAAATCAAATGCATTCGGATTTTTATTCGCATTTTCTTTGTTATACTTGAGTCTCATTCTTAAACATTTCTCAATAATGAAGGAAGGACGGCAGCAGTTTAAAAACGGTTTGCATGTAATTTCGTAGCTTTAGGATCTGTAACACCACCCTCAGGAGAAAAATACAAGTCCATTTCTGAGCCTGAATGTTAATAAAAGTTCACTGGGTTTCCAGAGGAGTGTACCATCCAGTATCAGAGTACACCTCTGTCTTGCTCAATGTTGTTGTCATATGCGGAGAAGGGATTTGGAGAAGTACTGAGACGACTCAGAGTCATAGACAGGGTATGATATGGTAGTCTGTTAATCCAGATGGTAAAGTATCTACTTAGAGCATTAGCTGGCAACAGCAGCTGTGGGGAGTAGTGACTGCCTCTTAGCTGATTTAATCACATTACAGGGATTTGACCCAGCAACTTTTGAAATCAGTGGAAATGTATTTGCTGCACCAGTATTTTGAGATGGCCTCCTTGTTTTGAACATAACTAACTGCTGCTGGTAACAACTCAAGGGGCTTACAAGTTGACCATTTCTTTCATTGATACTAATGGTGAAAAAGTGTGTGCTAATGTGCTGTGTGTAATTTTACAATAGATTCGTGATCTGGATTGTCTTTGTCCTTTGACATTGTTGTGGGTTAGGCTGACCCTCCCACACAGCCGGTCACTCCCCCTCCCCCACCCCCAGGGATGAGGGAGAGAATTAAAGGATAAACGGGAAACCCGTGGGTTGAGATAAGAACAATTTAATACAGATGATTTAATACACAGTGTAGATGCTCACCACCCCCTTGTATGCGAAGCCCGTCTCGTCCCGAAGCTGCAATCCCGGACGAACGCGAGGCCCCGAAATAGAGAGGGGCAGAGAGAGAGAGAGAGAGCACTCCGAGAGTGGGAGTACTGGGAGAGAGAGGGGGAAAAAAGGCAATAGAGCAAAAGCGCAGCAAGTGCAAAAGAGCAGAAGCGGCAAAAGAGCCAAAGCGCAAAAGCCCTTCTGTCCGGCTGACCCTCACTTTTATACTGGGCATGACATGGAATACTAATTGGCCAGTTTGGCCCTCAATCTTAAGTTCCACCACAAATCACAAGGGGAATCGTGTCCCCCTTGTCCCCGCTATGCTCCCCCCTTATCCCGACGTGTTTCTGCACTCGGGCACACTGAAAAGTCCTTGGAGTCTCAAACATCAGCTTGCTATAAGCATTCTTCTCAGAGCGAGCCTCCGAGTAAAACCAAAACACGGAGCTCTTCTAGCTGCTAAAAAGAAGAGCTAGCTCTGTCCCAGCTAAAACTAAGACAGACATTCTGAAGACAGCAACTATGAATGACTTATTACAGCATAATCGTTGCATTTCTGCATGAGGTTGTAACTGCTGCCTAATGCTATCAGTGTGTGATTGCAATCTAGCCGCAATATAGATGTGGAATGGATTCATGCCAGGATTTGGGGGCCATGAAATGTCAAATTTGAAGAAGTCTCAGCTTTCTTAGGTCCAAATAAAAATGGCTGTGCACAAGGTCCAGTGTTCTGTCTCTGACCATAGTGAGAGAACATAAGATCAGGGCAGGCCTACAGTGCTCCTCAGACTACTCGCTGAAGCTCCACTGATCTGCAGCCCAGAGACTTGACAGCCAGAGGATTTAGGTTAATATTTAACAGGATATTTTACAGATATCTTTTCTCCACTCATATTTTTCAATTCATATCTGACTCAGAAATTTGTTTGTGGAGAAACCACTGGGAAACTAGAGAAACAGATATTGTAGAAGCAGATGTTATATGTTTTAGGTGTATTCATTTCCAATTAACCCAATGTGCCAGATTTTTTATGAAGAATTGTTCCAGGCTAATATAAGTGCAGTTGTTAGAATTGTGTAGAAGGTGGTTTGCAATGAGAAATGAGTATTTGTTTGAATGTATGTGTATGACAGTGTCTTCCAAAAGGTGGCTGTTAGAGCCAAAGTATTTATAGTTCCTGTCCTTAGTTCAGTGCTTGCCTGCTAGAGCAAGCTTCTTCAATCAGCATGTATCCAAGTTTTGTTATGAAGTTGGCAAAATTTCATTCCCTATGCAAAATCATGTTTTCCTCTTTGATGGAATCTTAATGTTGTCACAGAAGAACTTCAGTCCAGGCATACGTGTGTTTTTCTTGAAAAAGTCCGTCACATTTTTACTCTGTTGTAAGGGCTAAAATTGAATATACAAATGTGATTTGTTTTCTCTTTCTCCAGAACCTCCAACTTGTTCCCCAGACCAGTTTACCTGTGCAACTGGAGAGATCGACTGTATCCCAATGGCATGGCGATGTGATGGATTTCCAGAGTGTGATGACCAGAGTGATGAAGATAGTTGCCCCATATGCTCTGCAGCCCAGTTCCAGTGTGAGAAAGGACAGTGTATCGATGCACACTTGCGGTGTAATGGAGAAATTGACTGCCAAGACAAATCTGATGAAGCGGATTGTGATAGTAAGATTCATTTTCCTGAACTCATGGTTTTAACATGAGCATCCGTTTGGAATTCTGACTGTTCTTGATCTATAGATATGATTTTCAGTTTCAAATGGAGAAAAACAGCCTTAACCATA